GTTCCACTAAAAGAGTATTTACCTGCAAAACAGCCTGTTAGCTCAGCTTTCTGCTGCTTCCTCTGTAGCAAGTTAGCAGTACACAGGTTAGCTCCAGTAGCTGCAAAGTCTGTGATGTTCCACAGGTTCCTGAAAAATTAGCAAACTTATTAACATAAACTGCAATAATTAATTCCATGAAACCAGTAATTAATTTGTTAAGATGAGTTTTTAGGGTTAGGGTTAGACCATTGTCCTGAGGCTAGCACAATGGCTTGCTTAGCAGCTAGCTAGTGAGCTAACGTCTGGCTAAAACCAACTTAAAAAAGGGCTTAACTTACAGATTACCTAAGAAAAGATAAAATATATTATCAATACTCACTTTAGATCCTCAGTAGACACCACAGACAGCAGAAATAACGTGTTTGGGGCTCAAAATTCATATTGTTGACCAGGTGGAAAAAAAATGTCTTGGAGGCTACATCACTTCCAGGTCACTGAACTGTCACTCAAGAGAAACCACTGTCCTATGGGAGAGGACTTCTCAGAAGTCCCGCCCACCCGACAGGGTTGTGTCAGAATTGCAACCAAAAACTCAGGGATTGCAAAGGAGAAAGCCAGACAGTGTAAGTGCAAATCTGGTAGTGAGAGCAAAGCTGTGAGCAGCGAGAACAAAACTAAGGAAACTGATAACAAAAACACTTAGAGGCAAACAGAAAAAGGAAACATACTTTGTTACTCATTTTAAGAAGTTGATTCAGATAGTAAGTTTTACTTTTGAAACATGTTTTTTTCCTTTAGTCAATATTTTTGTTCTGTCAATTTTTTAATTTTTGTTTGACCGTCAAAGTGTTTTTCTTGATCCTATTGGCACAAATCTAATCCCATACAGCTGAGTTGTGATCAAAAAGAGAATTGATCTTGAGATCTTGAAAGTCCAAAATAACCAACATGATCAGAACAAGGGTGGAGGATAAAGTCTCTCAGAAAGCAGACGTGACGATGATGCTGAAGGAGAAAATGTGGATCTTGGGTTTTTGGATGACTGGGGGGGGGGGGATGTTGATGTTGCAATCCTGTAACAAGTACCTGGTGAAAACTGAAGTGGGACAAAAAGCTTTGAGTGGAGAAAAGAACGACTGGAAATGTGTGAAGGACGACTTGTCGGAGCCATGGAATCAGGCTCTTTTGAACCGGGCTGGAGAGAACCGAGCACGGTCCTTTTCCCAGAACTCGAGTCGTTTCAACATTCTATGTCTTATGAGGTGTTTTTTTCTTTCATTCCTGCGTTTACAGGTGTGTGTTTGTGTCTCAAGTTCCAGCGCCACAAATAGCTGTTCATTCTTTCTCATGAGCTCTCTTGTGTTTAGAATATTACAGTAAGACCCCCAAACTTTTCATTTAGATTTAAAGCTGAATAAACCAGCATAATTTGGAAATTTAGCACTTTTCTATTCTCTAATTTTTTTGCACATTTTCAAATAAGTGTTATAGTTGCACATTTTTCATGTTTTGCATTTGCCCTGCACAAAAGTAAAAATCCAATCAATGGACTAAAATGTCAGCAAGATGCAAAACTTCTCTTATTGTTGTCAATTTTGTTGTTTATCTAAATATTAACTTGTTTTTATACCCAAAGCATCTAAAAGGTATCAGAGCTAAATGATACTAGTAGTGATGTGTCCGTTAGGATGAGACGTCAGAACTAGATTTATACGGTGATTTAAATGTTGCTGGTGGTAAAGGAGCTACTCAGGCAAAGTTGAACTGTTGTTAACAGAAGCTCAACAGCATCACCTAGTGGCAGCAAAAGGCTTAGCTGCATCAACTGAGAAAAATAGGAGGAGAAAACACATAAACCTGTTTAATAATCCCTTATTTTCAGTGGCGTGCCCAGATCTTTTAAAATGGGGTGGCCCAGGTGAGGCACAACTTTGTGCATGGTGGCACCAATGGTTATGCTTTTGTTTTACACCCAAGCCTTTTGTGGACAATGAAAAGTCCTATTTTCTTTTTTTCACAAATAAAACAAAACACAAAACAGGTTTGCAAAAATAAGAAATGAAAAAGGAACAGAAAAAAGCAAAACTTATGTTATCTGTTATCTGGGGCAGCAGTAGCTCAGGTGGTAGAGCGGGTTGCCTCATGATTGGAGGGTCATGGGTTCGATTCCAGCTACCGTCAGGGGTATCCTGCTGTTGTGTCCATGGGCAAGACACTTCACCCAACTCGCCTGTGTTAGTGGTGGTCAGAGGGGCCGACGGCAGCAAATGGCAGCCTCGCCTCTGTCAGACCTCCCCAGGGCGGCTGTGGCTACAAGCAGCTTACCATCACTAGCAGTGTGTGAATGTGAGAGTGTGTGGAAAGCGTCTTTGGGTGTCTAGAAAAGCGCTATATAAGTTCAATGCATTATTATTATTATTATAACCAAAATAAATGCAAATGACAACAAAGTTATTATAGTTAAAAAAATGTCAATTTACCTTTAAATTGTGAGACAATTTAAAGGTAAATTAGTGTGTTGGCACCTGGGGCAGGGGCGCAGCTAGGATTTCCAAACTGGGGGGGACAAAGTTCCAATGTACCCTCCCCCAAACACACACACACACACACACACACACACACATACTCGCACATGCACACGCACGCACACACACACACGCGCGCATGCATACACACACATACACACACACGCGCATACACACACACACACACACACACACACACACACACACACACCTTTAAGAATAAAACTGTTTTTTTAGCTTTTTATTTGTTTTTCTCACAGATTTGAAACAAATAACTTTTAAAGATGAGTTCATGAAAATAACAGAATGAAGAGAAATGAGTTGAAAATGAAGCTCAAGTTATATTTAAAATCTAAAAACGTCACATAGAGTTATTTTTGTTTTATATTTTCTTTTTAACAGGACTTCAGAATTAGCCGAGCTACTGCAGCGTCTTCTTCAGGAAGTCCACGAGGAGATGATGAGGAAAGCCAAAGTCCATCTGAGTCAAAATGAAACCCTGCAGAACAAAAGCGAGTGACGACTGACTGCAGAGATTCAGATGGAAAAACAAAATAAAGAGCGACGCTTACATCTCGATGAAGCACCTCAGGGTCAATGATGTCAAACAGGTTAGCGCCCTGTTTATCCAACAGTCTGGTCAGCTGCACCTGAAGAACTGAAACACAGAAAACCAGAACATGGCATCAGTTAACCAACACTGACCTAAACGTATCCGTTAGTGTCAGGAAGTTGTGGTTTGTTTTGAGTGAGTGTGTTTGGTACCAGACAGAACTTTAGGAACGCCTATTTTCCCCACAGCCTCTCTTATGAACTCTAGTTGGGCCTCATCAGAAGTCTGGAAACAGGAGGAGATATTTTGGAATGTGGTGGTATTTTATCACACTGATAATGATGATTAATTAAAGATAAATGTTGATCCGGCTCTGCCCATCTGCTAAAGGCAAATAACAGAAAGTTCAACAGTAAAAAGATGATCAACAAACTTTAATGTAAACTCTTACCTGCTGATTTTGTGAGGGAAGTTCAGCTCGACGTACAGTAATCCTATGAATATTTAAAAAAAATCACAATCATCAAGTGGTTAATTTTATGCACTATTTATGAATAATTAATTAGAAAAAAACGAATGCTAAAAAGAAATTAATGCTTGAGCTAAAGCGCCTCCACAATTAGGAGTCAAAAAAGTTTAGCATCATAATTTATGCCCTATAGATCAATAAATATCATCAAGCTGCACCTCTAAAACAACTGCAGAACCTGGGCCACAAGACCATATCATATTTTATACGTACTCCAAACACAACTAAATTAAAATGAATGATTACCAATCGCTCTTCACGAATAACGGAAAAAAACTGTTTTACTCACAGGCAGTAACTTCATCCATATGAACCTTATTACAGCAGGAAGGCCAAGCACACGAGCAGCTTTTATTTTGTAACTCTCAGCAGAACTTCCCCAGAACTCTACACTACGCCTCTATTTATATTAGCAGTGCTCTGCTGCCACCTAGTGTTCAGTTCAGTACACAACATCTATAATGCTCCATGCCCAATTATACTTCATCAATCACACAAATACTAATATTTACAAATGCCAACAAATATCACAGTAGTTACCTTCACAACAAGACCAAAGTAATCAAATGGACCTTGTTACTCATTAAAGTGTGGGTCTGTCTTCTGTACCTCACTAACATCATTTTTGATAAAACAAATAACTTGGGGGTAAATATTCTTGACTGATTAAAATTTGATTAATCAAGATTAATTAATACCAAAGCCTCTGATTAGATAGATTATTTTTTAATTGAGTTCCACCCCCTAGTAAAAACACAAAAATAAATAAAAACTGTTCTTACTGCAGCGGCTGACCGTGCAGGAAGAGTTTCTTGTCAGCATAGGAAGCTGTGACATTTACAGAAACATCCTAAAGAGCAGGAACATTTACACAATATTAATTACCTACATTTTAATGAACTTGAATTTTCAGAGACAGAACAACAATTTGCACCAAAGCATAATAAAATCCTCGTGTCAAATAAAAAACTTTAATAAAGATTTAGTTTTTTCCTGGTGAAGAACAGCATTTGTTCATCTTCAAGCAAGTTGATGTTTCAGATTTTCTCAGAATTAGTAATAATTTAAACGCTAATTACCTCTACTTATAGTTTCAAATTAGAAATATTAAATGCATCCAATAAAAGAAAAAGCAACCTCCCCAAGCTCACAATCGTTTACATTCCTATTTAAATCCCATCATTTTCATTAAAACTATTTAATTATAATTAATCCGTATCAATAACTTGTGTTTTCCTTTAGTTGATCCTGATTAAAACACCACGACAGATATTTGTGTCTTATCTGATTTTACCGTTTGAAAGAGGAGTGTTGCCGTGTCTCGACCCTCGCAGTAGAGTTCTCCAGACGCCTGGGCCCAGACCGTCGTTCCCGAGGTGGAGGAGCTAAGAAAAGGAACGGATGAACTCCAAACCCGGAGCTCTGAAGATGCCGATTCAGTCAGACACTAAAAACAAACAAACAAACAAAAACACAAATAAAGGTGATTGCTTCAGGGAACTGCACACATTCTCATTCTCACCTTTTCCAGATTTAGAGGCATGATGCTGGAGAGACTCGTCCGGAAAAGACCCTAAAGTATCGTTGCCACAAGCACAGAGTCTAGTGAGTGCGTCTGTGATTTTATCATTTATTTACAAAATTTGCAAGTAATTTTAACCTCAATTTGCTTTTTAACTGATACCCACAGTGAGCTCTTCTGATGAGAGGCTGAGTTGGAAACGACCGTCTCGATGCGCAGCAGCAATCAAAGGCTTGAAGACCTCATCTGGAGTCATAAGGACACATTTAAAGACTTTATCAGAAAAATAAATCTCATCAAGTCAACAATCTTCCTGATGAAGATCGATTTCTGATTTTAAACACATCATAATAAGAGCTGCTCACCTGAGAACCAGAAGTAAAGCATCCTGTTTTCAGTCAGCTGGCTGGGATGGAACACAGAATCGCTGATCTCTGAAGATGTGTTGTTGCAGTTAGTCAGCCCCTGAAAGGATCACCTTTAGGATAAATCGTTCTTTAAACCCACAAATAAACGAGACAATAGCTGTTTACCTTGTGGTATGATTCTATGTAGTTGGCTGTGATGACAGGAACAGAAGTCACACCGATGTTCACGCTGATGCCTCCATCACGCAGGAAATCAGCTGGAAATAACCAAAAACACTCAGGCCCTCAAAAGTCGAGGTTAACGGGGACTTCTGGAGTCAAAATTAAAGCATCCGAACCCAAAAAATCTTAATTTAATCTCAATTAAAACTGCATCAACAACCAAGAATCGGCTTTGTCTTCTACAACAAGATTTCTGCTAACGGCAAAAACTCTACAGCAAATGTTTTGTTTTCTTGTGGCATCGTGAATTAAATGAAAGAAGAATTTTATAAGAAAAAAGCCTAAAATATGGGAAATGGACTGATTCAGGTTTTGAAAGCCAATACCGATTTCCCTATACAGTCCTGACCTGCCGATACTGATTTGATTATAACTGTGGGTGTAAAAGCCTTAGAGGATATCTGTTATCGCTAATCGAATATACGTTGTACCGGTCTGTCGTGGTAAGGAGAGAGCTGAGGCGGAAGGCCAGGCTCTCGATTTACCGGTCGATCTACGATCCTACCCTCACCTATGGTCATGAGCCTTGGGTAGCGACCAAAAGAACGAGATCGCCGATACAAGCGGCTGAAATGAGTTTTCTCCGCAGAGTGGCTGGGCTCTCCCTTAGAGATAGGGTTAGAAGCTCTGTCATCCGGGAGGGGCTCGGAGTAGACCCGCTGCCCCTCCACATCAGGAGGAGTTTGGTGGGGCGGTTCAGGCATCTGGTGCCTCCTTGACACCTCTTCCAAGAAAAGACCTAAAGGAAGACCCAGGGAATGCTGGAGGGAATACGTCTCTCATCTGGCCAGGGAACGCCTTAGGATTCCCCGGAAGAGGTGGACCAAGTGGACGAAGAGAGGGAAGTCTGGGCCTCAGGCTGCTGCTCCCGTGACCCGACCCCGGATAAGCGGAGGAGAATGGACGGATGGATGGGTAACGTTTCCTTTTACAGTCCCCTAATTACTAAGTACTTACATGGTAATTACATAGTAAATTAATTTGTATTATTGTTTCTAGTTCTTAAACAGTTATTACCATGAAACTCAGGTTCAATTCTAGTTTTTATTTTTATTAATCATTCCCAATAAACACTGCTTTAAACAATAATTACACTTTATTACAATTATACGCTTTAATTACACACTAATACACTTTAACTTACTATGTAATTACCATGTAAGTACTTATTAATTAGGGGACTGTGAAAAGAAGCGTTACCGATGGATGTTATTACTAGCAACAGTAACTGCACGGACTGGGAAAAGGTGACTTTGTTTTTCCACTGCCTTTTTGGTTTCCTTCTACTAAAGATCTCTAAGGTGCCTTTAAGACTACCGAAATACAGTTAATACGACACAAATATGATCAAGATCCAGACAAAGGTGTTGCACGCTAGCCTGGCCGGCCATCCTCATGCTTCTAGATCTCTGTGTAGGAAGGACAAGTCTGGCAGGCCAGGCTAGCTGCATGCTACAACAGAACTTCTACCTGCAGCTAGCTCCTGCACAAAGACGATGGAAGCAGACATTTATTTGTGCACGAGCACAAGGTAAACACTCAGAGCGGTGTCAGATTCAGCTGCTGAACTTTTACAACATGCACGTAAGCATTAACGAGCTAAGACGCCATCCGGATGTGGAAGATAGTCTCCCACCTGCTGTGTCTTGTATGAAGTCGGCCAGTATGTCTGCCACATTATTGATCTCCTTGCAGACCTGTGTGCGACATTTGTTGTTTTAGTCTGATCATACGACCATACCAGTCTGCGACCTTTGACCTCACCTGTAATTTGATGAACAGATTCACTGTGAAGGTGA